ATCAAACTTATAAAAAGTTATGAAAATTGCATGGTCTGTGGCGACTACTGTAGTTACTTCGGGAGTTGTCGCAGTCAAGTAAAACAGACAGAAGATGAGATCTGATTGCAACTCACGTCTAGCAGACGTGACATCTGTCTGACTGACGTAAGGAAACGTGACAGCATGACAGCATACCTTCCAGTGTGACATTAAAGGGAAAAGCAGAAGTTGGCAAGCGGTTACTCTGAGATCGACAACAAAGAAATGGGTTGAAAGGTCAAAACATGCGCTACAGGAAGCACAGTGCAAACACAGAGAGATACAAAGGGTATTAGGAGGGTTTGGCAAATTTGAATAATTCTATTGACCCAATTGTGAAAAAACTCGCGGCCTCGGAGAGAGCCTGGTAGTCATTCTGGCGGATTCAAAATGATTGCTTAGAAAATCCCGCCTAAGCAGTCAGCTTACTGTATCCGTAATGGTGGATTCCATACGAGCAGTAAGTTAGGCGGGTAAAATCGATCCAAGTGTGATTGAATTCACGGTTCACTGTGAGCCTCGTAGCTCAATTGTGGAGCGTTGGCTAAGCAAAAACCTCCCTGCTGTGTGGGTTCGACTCCCACCGAGGCCGCAAATTTTTCACAATTGGGTCAACTGAATACCTAGAGTACTTGAGTACTACTGGACACTGCCGTCCCGGTCTCCCCCCAAGGAACTATCCGCACTTGACAAGCCTGTTTAAAAAAAGAGGTAAAGGACCCGGAGTTTGTACATATACAGTAACTTATAGTTAAAATCCGGGTAGTCGAGGTTATATAGTCCAGCTGTCCGAATCCCTTACGGTACGGACCGTTCACAGATGGTAAGCAGTGGAATGGCATTTATTAGGAGCTCCCGTTTTCGACAAACATACAACCAATCACCATGCAGCACTGATACCTTCAGGTAGGACCCGGCACGATTCTGGAAAAATTGGTTACTAGTCAAAGCGAGACTGCGGAGCGAACATTCCCGTCAACCAATAAGGTTTGCCTATCATCGTT